CCGTGCCATGCATGCAGCTAACAGATAAAACAGCACAAGATAGTGACTGCGCGTACGTGACATGGGAAGGCACTGCTAGGCTAAAAATCTCCTATCGCCCATGTGAGGACACATCGACACTAAGTGGAGCAGCCACAGGGACACCACTGGAAGGAGAACATAGCAATAAGGCAGCCTCAAAAGAAGGCCTAAAGCAGGGCTGTACAAAATACGGCCCGGGGGCTGGATCCAGCCTGCCAAGCCATCAGATCCGGCCCATGGAGCACCCTTCCAGGACCCTCAGGAACACAGCTGCCATGGATTAAAACACAGTCCCTGTGGCTCTCTGCTCTGCAGAGAGGGGGGAAGCTTCATGCAATCTCCCCACCCCCAGCCCAATCCTCAACTGGAAACAGCCAGCCAATTGGAGCTGAGAGATTGGCCTGAGCGACTGGGCCAGTGCAAGTCTCTTCCCCTATCCAGAATTGAGAGTCAGGTGGAGGGAGCAACCTGCATTTTCAAGAGGGCTGGAGCTGCAGCAGGCAGGGAGCCCAGCCTCCCTTGGATGTGCTGCAGCCTGCTGGCCAGAAGACACTTAGGTAAACTCCTCCCAGCCAGCACCAGCCTCTGACACCTCAATCCCTCCTACACCCAAACTCCCTCCCCCAGGTCACCATCCAAACCCTCTGCACCCTCCTGCCCCCGGTGACAACACCCTCCCATACCCTGTACCCCTTTCTACACCCCTCTCCCAGGCCAAAATCCTCTCCTGCACTCACAATCCCTCCCTGACTACACCTCAATCCTCTGACACAGGTCACAATCCCCTCCTACACCCAAACACCCTCTCAGACCTCACACCGTCTCCTGCACCCGTGTCCCTTACCCTGTGTGCCCTTCTGTACTCAATCTTCAATCTAGACTCCGCATCCCCTGCACAGAAAAGTGAGGCCCTTGACCGCTTACCAAAACCTTGGAGTGGCTGCCCACCAAAAATTATTGCCCACCCCTGGCCTAAAGGAAACAGTAAGCCTGTTGTATAACCAGCTAATCTGGTATGGGATGAAAATAAGCATAACTAAAACTAAGATAATGTGCATCAGCAGGGGTGCCACAAGGAAAGTGGATACAGAGATTACTGGAGAGACTATAAACCATACTGACTAGTTCAAATACTTTGGTGTCTGGATTATGGAAAATGGCATGCTTGAATGAGAGACAGTGTCCAAGACCAGGGAATGCTGGAAGGGCGTGGAATAAAATTTCAGTCTATTACAAGTATATGCATAGACTAAAATCCCTAATGTATAGCAACAAAGGTGCGTCCTAAAACACTATATAGTGCAGAAGCACAGAAAACAAAGAGATGGTATGATCAATCTCTTCAGGTGTTTTAGATGAGATGCCTACATGCTGGGACAAAATTCAGGAAGTGTGACTTTCTGGTTCATACACATGCAGAAGGTGAAAGAAAAACCATGAACATATCATGGCTAAATATCATGTGCAAAGCCATTGTTTTAAGGGTTTATGGCTACTGCACTGCACTAACATCTTACATAAATACAGTCTTTTAACAGTTTTTAAAAATGTACCTGCCTTTCCTCTCAACATTTTTAAAGTTTCTAATTTTATGCAGTGTGGAACACATTTTTGATAATTTATTGCAGGAACAGAAATATCACCATCATATTCTGGCTGCTTATGATGATTTACAGGATCATTACACCAAGATGCACCCTACGTTTTGGGGGCAGAAAAGCAGATGCATGATGCTCAAAGCACAACACTCTGAGCATCTTGTGTCGAAACAGTAATTCTTTCAGCTGTCACTCTGAAGGTCAAAAGCCTTCTCTGTGTTGAATTTACAGAGCAAGCAAACCTGGGCATTCTACTTCATCTTATATTTACTGACAAATCTGAATGCCAGAGTCAAATTGCTGTTCATGGAAGATTAAAGAGGAAGGCAAAAACAGAACAGTCTTAGCTTTGGCAGTTTGCTCTATATGTAGATGTGGTGACCTCAGTACAAATTTCATAATGGAAATAAAAAAAGAAGCTGCAAAGCAGTTGCAGATTCAAAATACTTTTAACAAAGAGAAAGCCAGCATTGTAAGAATCAATATTTTGTTCTCAAAACAATTTTGAAAATTCAAGCTTGTGTGTTGAGCTATTGTTTAATACATACTATATCAATCTATACCAAGGCTACTCAACTTTGGAAGCCCTGGAGACCACAATGATACTCAAAGCATGTGCCGAGGATTGCAACTTAAGTGTGGTTGCATATACATGCAAATATATGCAAATAGCTTCTTTCATACTGACAGGCATGAATACAAAGATTAAGGCAAGACTACACAACACAGGCCCCATTTAAATCAGTTCTGCCAATATTAATAAAATGCAATATTTCCCCAATTTCTACCCATATGACAGCACTTTAAATAAGCAATGACAGTCCAGGAATTTAACTACTAATACACATCAACAGAAGACCATTATATTGACTCGCTGGTGTGGTGTGTGTTCCCAGTAGAGGCCTGTCATAATCAGGAGTGCTGACCAGCACCTGGTGACTAAGAGGTTAACTATGTCTCCTGTACCTAGCCAAGTATCAGGTGGTCAGCCAATAACAATTCAGGTAGGAATTTCAAACTGGAAAAGAGGAATTTTTCCTCTCCATTTCTTTGTTTGAAATTTTAGAGTGGTTTCTTCCAAGACTGAAGGAGATAGAAGGCCCATCTCTCTTGAAGAACAGACTTCTTACAATGCGTAAGTAGGGCAAAGTTTAGTCCGTCAGGATTTTGTTGTTTTCCTGGTTTAGGAATCTGGATTTAATGTCTGAGCTGTTAAGCTGTTAAGTTTGTTAACCAAACAAACAATGGAGGCGCCAATTGTTCTTATCAGCCTCTTGTAACTACTTGAACAATCTACTCACTGTCTCCTTCTCCCGCCCCCCCCGCCCCTTCCACCCTCTCCCTTTTCCCTTATTTATTCTTGGACTTCTAGATACTCCAGTCATCTGAAGAAGTGAGTTGTGCACATGAAAGTTCATGATACCATCTACGTGTTTTGTTAGTCTTTAAGGTGCTACTAGACTTTTCATTGTTTTTTAAGTTTTTCCTGGTACAAACTAACTCGGCTACCCCTCTGAAACTAAGTAATTGGTAATACACTGAAGAAACAAATTACCCACAGACAATTTCTAAAGCTTTTCTCATGCCTCACCTGAAGGAGACCAAACAAAACTTTGGTTCTTTTTTCTATAAAAGATATAGATGCAGCCATCATTTTAAAAATCTGCTTTACCAGACGTGTGATAGCAACTAAACGTTAACACTGTGCTAAGTTTTGTCAAACACAGATACTCTCCAATTAATGGAAAAAGTGGATATATTGAATACCCTAAAGTTAAGCCAGACCAAATAACACAATATTAAACAAAATCACACCTGTTGACAATTAATGCTCAGTTGTACTAATCTTTGCATTATTTACCACTGCTTCTCAAGGTCATATTCTAGCAAAATGTATTTTCTCAGTGTAGACAATCTCTCGGTGCAGGCAAGGACAAGCTGAGTTTGCACCATGAGAGCTAATTTTACTGAACCAAGCATTTTTAGATGCCCGATATATCACAAAAGGAGATTCTTTAAACAGGTCATACAATTATGATAAATTTACCTCTGTGTGCTAGTGGTTAGACTGTTTTTTTTCATTGAATGTACTTGTTTACTTCCTTCATAATACCAATGTGAGAGTGTAAATGAGTAATCATTAAGCATGAGCTTATTGGTTACCCAAACTGCTACCCACGGTTTCCAGTCCAGCTCCCGGAGAGCTGCCTGCAACCCTGCATATAATCATGGTTAATCAATTACACATATTTTAACATCCCTTTTTCATAATCACCACCTGATTTCTGATGGAATGCTTTCTCCCTAAATAGGTTTAAGTTATTCATTTGAATGTATTCTTCTATCATAGCAGCCTCTTTGAATGCATACATGCACTGACTGAGGACTTTGATCAGAGATGTAATAAATTAAATCCACATCCAGGATTGTGAATGCTCAGTAAGTAGCTAGTTAAATAAGAACATAAGAACGGCCGTACTCGGTCAGACCAAAGGTTCATTTAGCCCAGTAGCCTGTCTGCCAACAGTGGCCAGCACCAGGTGCCCCAGAGAAGGTGGACCTAAGACAATGATAAAGCAATTTGTCTCCTGCCATCCCGCTCCAGCCTCTGACAGAGGCCAAGGACACCATTTTATCCCCTGGCTAATAGCCTTTTATGGACCTAACCTCCATGAAATTATCTAGCTTCTCTTTAAACTCTATTATAGTCCTAGCCTTCACAGCCTCCTCTGGCAAGGAGTTCCACAGGCTGACTACACGCTGTGTGAAGACGAACTTTCTTTTATTAGTTTTAACCCTGCTACCCATTAATTTCATTTGGTGTCCTCTAGTTCTTCTATTTAGGGAACTAATAAATAACTTTTCTTTATCGGCCCTCTCCACACCACTCATGATTTTATAGACCTCTATCATATCCCCCCTCACTCTCCTCTTTTCTAAACTGAAAAGTCCCAGTCGCTTTAACCTCTCCTCATATGGGACCCGTTCCAAACCCCTAATCATTTTAGTTGCCCTTTTCTGAACCCTTTCCAAGGCCAAAATATCTTTTTTGAGGTGAGGAGACCACATCTGTACACAGTACTCAAGATGTGGCGTACCATAGTTTTATACAGGGGCAGTAAGATATTCTGGGTCTTATTTTCTATCCCTTTCTTAATCATTGCTAGCATCCTATTTGCCTTTTTGACTGCCGCTGCACACTGCTTGGATGTTTTCAGAGAACTATCCATGATAACTCCAAGATCTCTTTCCTGATTTGTCGTAGGCAAATTAGCCCCCATCATACTGTACTTATAGTTGGGGTTATTTTTCCCCGATGTGCATTACTTTACACTTATCCACATTAAATTTCATTTGTCAATAAATGATTAGTCAATATACCTAATTGTGGAGTGTCTGCTATGTCGCCTGTACGCCGCCTTCCAAGCTCTTCTCTCAGAGTCAACAAGCCTTCCTCCAGAGTAGGGAACTCCGTCAAGTCACTTCCATCACCAGTCAAGCCCAACCTCATCCCTGATGTTGCCGCAAGATGGCTGACGTCCATTTCTGCTGGCAGTTGATACCATGACTCCATTCGCTTTAAAAAAAAAAAAAAAAATCTTCAACATGTAACTAGTTGTACTTATATTTCCAAAATCAAAAGTGTAACAGTAAGCTATTTATATTTTTATTGCATTAAAATATATTTTACAATAAAAACAGTTCTTCTATTTAAATGTCTTGAATATATTCCGATCTATTCAGGTATAAATAAAGGCTACAACCAAAGTAGGACAGTTAAATTCAAATTTGGTAAGCATAAGCTTGCAATATCACTGGTACATTAAAAACAGACTTCACTTGGCTGTAAACTGTGAATGCAACTTAACAGAATTACATAGATATGGCCATTGACTGGTACAAAGGCCATAAGCGAAGGAAAGCCCTTTGGGGATGTTACATTTTCAAAAGGATCTCCCAATTACCCAATCAAGGATTATAAACTGAATGTCCTACCCTCCAAGTGTGGATAAAAGAAGGCACCAGAAACCTTTGTCTAAAAATCACCAACAATGTACATTTGTAATTGCTGAAGTGTACAATGAGCATTGTACTACGTAGAAGGCAGATCCCTTCATAAAGCAAAGATAGAAAGCAGCATGAATTGCAGGCGAGGGAAAGGGTTACTACTGGGTCCACTGTTTAAGAAAAGGCATGAGGGGCAAGTGGAGGGAGCAAAATATTGAATGCTCACTCAACTTGAGGATACAAGGGAGCGAGAAATAAGGAGTTTTCTTAATGTCTTTCACCTGAATTAAAGCCTCCAATCCTATCCAAAGTCCAGCATCCCCATGTTCCACTAAGGTTCAACTCCCTCCACCAAAAGACCTCCTCCAGATCTGCAAACATCTAGAGGACAGCAGTCCTGTTTTGGTGAGCTACATATAACCTGCTCAAGCAAAGGACCCCTCCAGAAAATCATATATGCCAACCCAAATTTTTAAAAATTGTCACTTTTTTATTTGAAGCATACATGGGAACATGAAAACAAAAAACTTTTGCTAAAAAAATTAAAGGCTGAAAATGTGCTCAAAAGGAGCCCAGCTAATTATCTCCCCAAAATACACTTTTACACAAAAATATTTTCAAAAAGATACAAAATCTTTAAACGAA